GCCAGTCAGACAAAGATATATATCACATGATCTCACTCATTTGTGGAATATAATGAACAATATAAACTGATGAAGAAAACAAATCCAGAGACAGAGAAGCATCAATCAGACAGAGGGAAGGTAGGGGAGGGCGGGGTAAAGGGGAGAGATCAACCTAAGGACTTGTATGCATGCATATCCTAAGAAACCCAAAACACCAATCAGAGAGAAGAGATGCACCCCTATGTTTATAGCAGTGCTAATTACAATAGCTAAGGTCTGGAAACAGCCCAAGTGCCCAGGAGTACAAGAGAGTCTTTTCTATGTAGGCAAACATCAAGCCAAGTTGGTGTGGCCATAAACAATGGATAGAATTACAAGTATTTTGAGTCCCAGTCATGACAGGCTAACTAAAGGGATCCTAAGGAACACAAATGAGAACTAAGTCAGATTGGATTTATTTAGGAATACAAAAAATTAAGTAAATATAATTCACAATCAAGTATGACTTACAGGAAATTTAATTAACAAAGTAGAATATACAGTATCCATGAGGTAACTTTTAAAAAATTTTTGATTCCAGGAGGAAATTGTGCTCACAGTTGAATCCACTAGAAAAGCTTCTCTATTGTATACAAATTAAACTGGTTTCCCCCAAAGGATGAATCCTTCTTAATAATATTTGAGTCTAATTCTACTGAGCAAGATTTGTACAGATCTAGAAAAAACTGCAGAGAATATCAGAGTTGGCAGTAGAGAAAACAGACTTGTGAGTTTATATTTCTCTGAGGGACTTATTATCCTTGCTCTGGCAAATAAGTAATCCCTGTATCTGAAAAGGACTTTTTAATGTTTTTAAATTCAATATAATAAAAAATATATATTTGTGTGGGCAATAATGTGATTTCAGCTCTATTCAAAAAACATCTTAAAGTTTTATTGTATACAAAGCATGTTTTATGTGGAAGGATAGTACAGATACAAACAAGAATATGTTATTTTAAGACAACTCTTTTTTTTTAGTTTTGTCATGGACCTGAAACAAGAAAACATCATGTTATCAATACATGCATATGGTTACTGTTTAACTGGTATAATTGTGTGCATGTTTATGGGGATGAATTTTATCTGAAAAAAATGTATATTTCTTGAATAATTCATTGTTAAATTGAGACACATAGATTTTTCTAAATTAATTTCAAAGTTAAAAGTTAATTTTATGGTTACAAAGATATCAAATGTTCAAAAAATGAAATAAGTGGGAAAGTAAGTTAAAGTTTGAACACTTAATATTCATTTTGAATTTCTTTTATTTGGAAAGGTACTATTTTTACAATTGGTGGAGAGATTATTAAAACTGGTATGTCACCCTTAATTTTGCTCAAAATAAGTGAGATAATGACCCATCCATTGATAAGGATAAGAAGATGTAAAGTTTAAAGCATTTAGTTTATTAAAAGTTACTGATACAAAGGATTTTGGCACATTAAGTTTAAGTGTATGACACTAAACTATCTGAAAGTTACTTATAATTTGAAGTCTGACAAATGAGTTTAACCATTCCTACCTTATATAATTGAATTTTGTACTTCAGATCTAATAAATGTGAGCTTCTTAAATATATACTTTCAGTAAATAAAAATTAATTGAATTTAAAATTTTATAAGAGAAAATTGAATGTAAGATTTAAGAAATTCTAATTGGAAATTTTCATTGTTCTTGAATATATTAGTTTGATGTTGTTAATTACAAGAACAGAAATCATCATGAATTGGGCTATTATGATTTGATCTATTTCATTATAATTAATGAAAAAGGGCTACACATCTTTCTAAAGGCAATGAGCCTGCAATAATGCACTCCTCTCTGTGTCACTGAATCCAATCACAGTGGTTTATAAATTAGGAAAAAAATACAGAAAGCATCAGCCCAGTAAGAGGCAAGGACATTTGTACCCTGAAAACAGTTACGCTTATGGGAACATATTTAAATTTGGACAATATATGTATTTGGCTACATTTTTTAGATTCAAAAATAAATGGATGGAGTAAAAATAGTCTCTTCAATAAATGGTCTTGGGAAAACTGGAAAGCCACATGCAAATGAGTGAAACTGGATTACAGTTTGTCTCCATGTACAAAATTAATTCAAAATGGATCAAACACCTAAATATACAACCAGAAACCATGAGTTACATAGAAGGAGATATAGATACCAAATTTATGGACATTTTATGAACTTAACCCCAAAGGCAATGGAAGTAAAGGCAGGCAGAAATAAATGAATGGGACTGCATCAATATAAGAAGCTTCTGCACAGCAAAAGAGATGTCAATAAAACAAAGAGCAGCCAACCAGATAGATGATATTTACAAACCGTAGCTCCAACAAAGATTTAATTTCCAAAAAATATAAAGAACTCATAAAACAACACCAAACAAACAACCCAATCAAAAAGTGGGCAGACGACCTGCAAATACACCTCTCCCAAAGAAGACCCATGAAGAGCCAATAGATATCTGAAAAAATGTTCAACCTCACTAGCAATCAGGGAAATGCAAATTAAAACTACAATGAGATATCACTTCACACCTATTAGAGTGGCCATTATCAATAAGACAAGCAACAACAAGTGTTGGAGAGGTTGTGGGAAAAAAGAGAACCCTCATTCACTGCTGGTGGGAATGTAGACTGATATAACCACTATGGAAAGCAGTCTCACGATTCCTCAAAAAAATTAAAAATAGAGCTACCATATGACCCAGCAATCCCTCTCTTGGGTATATACCCAAAAAACTCAAAATCATGTATTCACAAAGATATGTGCACCCCTATGGTCGTCGCAGCATTATACACAATGGCCAAGACATGGAAACAACCCAAGTGTTATGTGATAGAGGACTGGACAAAGAAGATGTGGTACACATACACAATGGAATACTATCTAGCCATAAGAAAGAACGAAATACTGCCATTTGCAACAACATGGATGGACCTTGAGAACATTACGCTAACTGAAATAGGTTAGTCAGAAAAAGCTAAGAACCATATGATTTAATTCATATGTAGGATATAAAACTGAAACCCGTGAATACAAACAGCAGTGTGAAGGTTTTCAGAGGAAATGGGGTGGAGGGGAAAAGGGTGTTAATATATGGTGACAGGAGAAGATTTGATTTTGAGTGGTGGGTACACTGTGTTATATACAGATCATGTAACATAGAAACCCACACTTGAAACCTACATGATCACGTTGACCAATGTCACCCCAATAAATTTAATTACAAAAATAAATAAATGGAAAAATAAATAAATAAATAAATAAATGGAGGGTTTTTTTTGTTTTTTTATTGATGCACTAAAAGTAATTTTAACCACAGTGAAAATGTCTGAGAGTAAATTTAAGAGCAAATAAACTAATACCACCAGTACAAGACAGAAGGAGTTTGAATAGATGCTATAGTTGCTAAAGAGCTTTGATCAATTATTTGAAATGCACAGTTCAATGAATTTAGGCAATTGTACATAATGGGTGACCACCACCTAAATACTCCAAAAAGTTCCCTCTTGCCATTTCAAGTCACTTTTCCACATTCCCCTAGGGCCAACACATTTTAACTTCTATCATGTACTATTATGCCTTTTCTAGGACTCCATGTAAATGAACCATATAGTATGAATCACTTTGTTCCTATTTATGTAGCTTCTTTCACTCCACATGATTTTGTGGTTCATCCATGTTATTGAGTACATGAGTAATTTGTTCCTTTTCCTGAATATACCACAATTTGTTTGTCTATATTTCTGTTTATGAAAATTTGGGTTGTTTCTGGCTTTTGGCTATTATAAATAAGGCTGCTATGAACATTCATGTAGAAATCTCTCTGTGAACATATGTTTTCACTTCTCTTGGGGAAGTATCTAGGGATGGAATTGCTAGGCCATAGAGTAAAAACGCATTTTTACCTTTATAAGAAACTTCATATCCTTTCTGATTGGTGTTTCTGGTTTCTTGGGATATATTCCTAGAAGTGGGATCACAGGGTCAAATGGGAGTTCCATTTTTAGTTTTTTGAGGAAACACCATACTGTCTTCCATAGTGGCTGCACCAGTCTGCATTCCCACCAGCAGTGCAGGAGGGTTCCTTTTTCTCCACATCCTC